AAAAATTATGGATTGAAAAAACAATATTTAAAAAAGAAATATCAAAGTGAAAGGTCACAAAAACTTTCATAATAAACATCTAGAAAAATTGAAAACTACAAAAATACTAATGCATAGTGAAATGAATAGTGGATTTAAGTCTTGATGAAGCTGTGCAAATGAGTTTGGATGAACGAGTGTTTTAAATAGTATAATGAATAATAATTATGCGTTTTGCTTTAGTTTTATTGTAATAATCTTCTCCGTGTTTTAGAGAGATAAACCATAAACAAACCTATGTTGAGATTTTAATCATCGGGGATCAAGGGTTTTAGTAAAATGTATGGTTATTATTTACTCGTACTATTTGAAAACATAGACAAACCTAGATTTGAGAAGTTGACTACTTCCAAATTTAAGCCCATAAGTGATTGAAACTTTTTTTTTTTTTTTACCTATATGTTCCATCTCATATTAAAAACATAACTAATTATGGACAAGAACCATAAAATTTAATATCTCTCAATAAATATAATTTCATAATTCGAATAATGTATATTAAGAAAAAATTCATCTCGAGACTAATTCGCTTACCACAGAATCAACAATTTGTTATTGGAACTTGATATATAGATTATCTATTTTTTGTTTCATTCAAACAAAACACGTGAGTTTAACATTGATTATGTTTGGACAAAATTGATAAATCGAGGTTTGGAATTTAATAGATAATGAAAATAGTTACTTATGGCATGGTACAGTGGTAATCTCGCGTTTTTTGAGTAAATTATAAATTAGTTTTGAGAAAGAAATTAATTAGTTCTCTCAAATTTCGAAAATTGATTTTTTTATTTTATGCTTTTTCTATTTTTAAATAAATAAATAAATATCGTGGAAAGATTAACAACAAAAAAAAAAACAAAAGACAACTCGTTTGAAATAAAATAATATTAAATTAAGTTCGAGTAATACTAACTAAGTAAATAAATAATGAGTTTTTTTTTTAAAAAAGGAAAGACTACTTAACTTATTTTTTAAAATTATATATAGAGACTAATTTATAATTTACTTTTTGATTTTGTGTTGATTTTGTTTTCTTTTTAATTTGTGTTTGTGGCTAAGATGACTATGCAGTCCGTTATAATAGATTAATCCCATATTTAGTTTTTATATTCTTGATTTTTTTTTAACGTAGTCCTTTCAATAAAATGTTGATATATTTTTTCAATAACAAATTACATGTGAAAATACATATAATATAAAAATGGCACATGGCAAAGTTTTATATTTAATGTGTCAATTTTATTTGATATATCAATTTATTTGTCATTTTATCTAAAAAATTAGACAAACTAAGATATGACATGTTTTTCATTTTATGCTAAAAGAGTTATCATATTGCACTTCAATGAATGTCTACTCGAGAAATCTATGACCATAGTAGGAGTACACCAATAGAGCATAATTGGTTTACTATAAGAGCTAAGACATTTGAGAATAAAAAAAAACTTATGTGATCGTGATTGGACAATGCTAATAACCAATTCCGGATCATACCGTGATAAATTAACATGAGAATCGAATGATATAGTAACCATTATCGTGAAAGGAAACTATGAATTAATTAATCCTCTAAGAGAATTGGATAGTCATGATGCTAGAGGCTAATCTTGTCTATCAAGAGATAAAACATGTGTCTTTTATTCTTGATACATTGCCAATATCAAAAGTCATATTAAAAAAATTTCAAAAATAAAAAATCTGATAAATAAAAAAATAAATAAATCACCTAAAGAATATAGAAAAATCAAGCTGCAGTGGATTTTTTTGAAAGAGCTTCCAATGGTTTTGGTGGATGCTATATATCCAATAAATTATATAAATTTTTCGATAAGAGCAAAATCCGTTTAAAATAAAAAGTGAGAAAGGATAGTTTGGTCTTTTTGGTTTGGCGGATTGCCCTTCCTTTTTCACACTGTAGAAATATACACAGTAAGAAAGTGAGGAAAGATAGAGTCTCACCTGAGCCAACAAGGACAAGCCAGGTGGCTAAAAGCAATAAAACAGCAGACCGCATCATATAATTAGCATAATAAATTATAATTTCATCCCTATGTTGTTACTGTGATTATAATTTGCTCCCTTTGGTTTAAATTTTTTTATTTAATCCCAGCTGCTTAGAATCCATTAATAAAGCAATCTCTTTATTAGTTAGCCATCAATAAGGTGTTAAGCTATCATCATCTAGTAATTATTGTTCCATTAATATCTTTTTTTAGTCACATTTTCAACTCAACCACTACAAAATCAATCAAATAAATTTCACAAAAAAAAAAATTTCTCTTCTTTATAAAAACAAACTGGACATGTTATGTTTTAACTAGTTTTGCATTAAAAAAAAAACCAAAAAAAAAAAAAAAAGAGGAAGGAGAAATATAAAAAGGGAAGAAAAAATTATAATTTTTTTTTAATTATATAGGAATTATTAAACAATCATCTCAACCATTCGTATCCTCTCCTCTATCCAAACAATTAATACCTAGTTATTTCTTTGATAAAACCTATACCTAATTATTTATTTATTCATTTATTTCTTAGCCAATAACTTCCTATCTCCTCGTATTTTGAACTTCTCTTACAATACGAATGGCTTCACCTTAATTTTTTTTTTAAAAGGACAAATTTGATATTTTATAACTCATTTCAAATTAACTAACAAATATATATTTTTTGAATGTTTTATTTTACCTTTCTTTTTTGAATAATATACTTTTTATGGAAGTGAACATAATAAAAGGAGAGAAAGAGTTTTTAAAACATTTTTTTTTTAGAGAAAAGACGTGGTTGACAAGCCATTTCGAAGAGGCGATAAAAATATTTTTGTTAAATAATGCATAAGGAGAGAATAGGCATTTGAAATTTTTTTTTCAAAAAAAAGAAGACGTGGTTAACAAGCTATTTAGAGAAAAAAACAAGAGTGTGTTTTCATTAAACGATGCATGCGGTTTGAACTATTTCCATATAAATAAAAAAGAAAAAGAAATAAGTTGTAGTCTAAAGATAAAATATTAGGAAGTATAGAGTCAAAAGCTGTCTTGTACATTCAGAATCAGAATAATCAACAATAACGAGTTTATAAAAAAAAAAAAAAAACCTAAGTTTTGAGGTTTCGCAAGAGGACTAAGTTACAATATTTTCAAAATACATGGATGAAATATAATTTAACCAAGCATTACAACATACTACAAATAACAACTGCTTTAGGTTTATAACGTACACAGCAACAACAATTGTCTAACTCACACTTCCCTCACTTTCCTCCTCTCGCCGCACAGCCAACCTTCTAAACTCTCACTCTTCATCTCGCTCTCCACATATAACAGAACACAGAGGTATTTCTTTCTTTGCATGCAAATGTCTATATGTTCTAGCTCTCTCTCTTGACTTTGAATTTAGCTAACGTTTGCTGTTCTTTTTATGGCCTGCTTGCTCTGTTTCTTGTCATGTTAAACTCTTGTGTTTTTATTTTCTTTAGCTTGATGTGCTTAATCTCTCACAAACAGCTTAAAAAATGCATGTGAATTTTTTTTCAAATACCTCGATCACTTGTTTGTAACAGATATCAGCTGTACATGTGAATGTTTAAGTGCAATGTAATTGGTTGGGGAGAATCTTAATTTTGCTTATGTTGCGTTGACATGCTGTGGCTTGTTTCATTGTCGTGTTTGTGTAATTGTGTTGTGTTCTTAATTTTTTGGTTATTTAGAGAAAATTAGTGATGGGATGGCTGAAAAGCTGGGTATTTTTGGATTGTTTTTTGTTTTTTTGGTTCTAACAGCATGTTCTAAGCACATACACTTATCATACTTGGCACTTCTGCCATGTGTTCAGTTCATGTCCAATTTGTGTCAGGTTCTGTGCTTAACATTGTCAAACTTGTCCTTAAAAAGCATCATTGCTATTTGTTTGAGTAAATACCTCTAAGTAGAAAAGGTGTATCTGTCATAAGATTTGTTCTTGCTATCTTCAATTGTTTATTGCGTTGACTTTTTGGGAGAGCTCTAGTCTTTAGGAACCAACGTTTCGCTCTTGTAAGAGTGAGACTGCTGTCCTTTTTGTTATCCAGGGAAAAATTACACCCCCCCCTCTCTCAAGGAAATTTTACCCCCTTCAGAGAAGTTAGCACTCCTATCAGGAATTCTATCCACTGTGACTTTAAATCAATAAGTTTGAGAATGTGACGTGTCATTAAGCCTCCTCTTAGAACATCCTGTGAAAGAATGGAAAGAAAATCTGTGTGATTATTGAAGTCTTTGGTAAAAATTGATAGTTATCACTTACCAAGTGCCAAGTGACTGATTTGTTTATTTCAAAACATAAATTTCCCATTACACAATCATGCATCTCTCTCTCTCTCTCTCTCTCTCTCTCTCTCTCTCTGCCTCTATGTGTCTCTAAGTTAGTTGGCACAGCATCAGCATTTATCTTTCAGACACGCAGGATGAATTTCTTTTATAATGATGTTGTTCTTGGTGAATCAAGTTTCTCTTGATGCCTTTTTTGGTTTAATAATCGAAAATTTTCACTGTATGTTCAAATTATTTTTTGCAAATTGAATTGGCAACCGAAAGCTATTTTCTTTTCCCATTTGATGCAATTCATTTGACCTGTGGTCCATGCCGTAGAGCTTATGCCTGTATCATGAAGGTTCGGGTTTGTAACATTTTCCTTCTGTTGCTCCTTAGTCCCATTTTCACCTCATATATTCTGACGTCACACTAGAAAATTCCTGCGAGTTTTTTTTTCTCTGTAAATTTACTTTGTTAATTTTTGTTGTGCTTCTTGTCTTATTTTGTCCTGGACTGAACTTGGAAAGAAATTTGTTCAGTATGCTATTTGAAATGATTGAATTGATTCGCTAAAATATGTTGGTTCAATCCTTTCTCAGGCTAATTATGAAGGAATTTACTTTAGAGCATTGGTCATTAATGAATTGAAGTGAGCTTGGCTAAGATTGTGTCATGGTTCCTGCACAACCAATGATGGATATCAAACCAGATTGTAAACTGCAAGATTCTACTAATGTTGTGATTGATAGAGAGAACAAAAATGTCCAGGAAACATCAGATGGTCTGGGTTTAAGGTGCATGAATGACTGTGAGGAAACTATTAATGGGGTAAACACTCTGTTGGATGAAAAAGCTACAGCTCCAAAGGACCTTGAGAATGTTGAAGTTGATATAGTTGCATGTACAAAAATTAATGAGACCAGGTCAGGTGAGGAGGAAGACCCTGATGCAACTGAATATTCAAGCTCATTTGCCGACACTAATTCTGGTACTGAGAAATGTTCTGGACTAAGTGAAGCTGAAGTGGAATCACAATTTTTTGGCGACAGTGATTTGGCATCCCCATTCGATGCATTTGGTAGCATCTTTCAAACAAGGTGTGTTATGTTTCAAATTCATAATCTTCTTGTCTCTTTCTTGGCTATTGTTTCAACTGTGAAAGTTTTGTACACAAGAACCACAGTTGTGTTCTTGTGTGTAGATTTTGCTACGTTCAGTCGTCAATTATCTTGCAAGGACAATAAATGAGAGAATAACTAATGCTAAAATTTCTATTTATCTGTATAGTTAGTAGGTAAATCATTTCTCATCACCTACATTGTATATTTAGAGCGCTGCCATCCTAACGAATTGAATTACTAGGTGAGCTCTTAGGGCTTGGGTTGCTTTTGAACTGTAGTTGTCTTGATAGAGGAATTTGTTATCTGGGGAGAACAATCTTTTCTTTTCTTTTTTTTTTTTTTTTTTGGAAGCTATAAAGATGTTAGAGAATGATTTGTAAAATGGTGTTCTAAAGTGAACAGTATTTTCATCTAGATGCAATAACCTGCATCCCTATGTTTGCATGTGTGATTTTTCCACATCATGTTATGTCTATAGTTTGGATCATTTCTCATGCAATTTAATGTTTTGCTCGTGATAGGACTTTTAAATTCAACTGCCACCTTTTGTGCTAAAGTACACAGCACTTATTCAACTTCTTTTACTTTGATCTAGGAAGAAGAAGTTAACAAACCACTGGAGGAGTTTTGTTCGTCCTCTAATGTGGCGCTGCAAATGGACGGAATTGAAACTCAAAGAGTTTGAGTCTCAAGCATCAAAATATGCCAGAGAAATTGCAGCATGTGAACAGAGGAAACATTCAGGAATTTACCAATCTACATTTGAAGGTTTTTGTTCAAAGTCCCTGCCATTTTCAAATGAATGTTATAGAAGAAAGGCCGTAAAGAGGAGGAAACGCAAGAGAGTTGAAGACACAACTGGCGCAGCATCATACATGACCAATCATAATCTTTTTTCTTATCTGGGTAAAGCTTCTTTTTTCCAGAGTCACATATGGTCGTTTTTTTCTTTGCTCTCACTCTTTTTCCCATCAAAGTCCTTCGACTCCACTTTGTGATAAACTGCAGAAAACAAGAAATCCAATCCAGAGGGCTCTTCTATGGTTGAAGATTTTAGCAATACAGGTAAAGTTGTTTGCTCTGCATTGATTTTGTTTCTTCTTCATAGCTTTTGCACCATTACATGGATTTTCATGTTATACATCCCTTTTGTTCTCTTGTTCTGTACTCTCAATATTTTCCAGTAAAGTGTGGTTGTGCGTGGTGTCCTTATTCCATCTTATGATGGTTATCTTTGGTATAAATTTTATACGAATGTTTTAGGTAATCATTAGTGATGCTAGTTGCTGGCTATTTGTGATCTTGAACAGCAATCACAGACCAACATGCTGGTGGCAATGATAAATCTGGCATTGACAATGACGAAATGTTTATTGAGTTTGGAGATGGTGATAAATCCTTGGAGCAGGTCCTTCGGAAAATTGAAATAGTGCATTCTCGGGTTCACAAGCTGAAGAATGAACTTGACATGGTGATATCAAAGAATGCCTCCAAGTTTTCATCCTCGGAGAATTTGAGCCTCCTTGCAGCATGTGATGCACAGACTAGCTCTGCTCCTAGTCCTACATCTGCTGGCAATGGGGAAACAATATCAGTAGGAGCTATTTATCCTGCAACTCAGAATATTCCTGGATATGATATTGGAGATCCGGTTATGCCTGAAAGTGCCATGTCTGGTTTTGGTGAGGCTGTTCATGTGCCCGATATTATTGAAAGCACAGTGGGACTGTTGTCTGCTGCTGACGTTACCTTCCACCAGCCACAAATCGGAGATTTAAGTGAAGATGTAAGAATCTCTTATAACCAGTATTGTCATAGTCCACACACTTCTAGCAGTCCTTTATATTGAGATGCCATTGTAGAAGCACTGGTTGATTGAATAAGATATAAAAATTGATGCTTGATTCCTTAAATATAACAGTATGATATAGCATAATCACTGGCTGAATCATGAGTTTTCTTTTCTAAATGTACCATGTGAATTTGGAATTGAGGATTTCATTATTTTTTTCCATCATGTGTATGTGTTTCTAAATTTCTTGAACCTTAATCATTCTTCCAAATTCTGTATGAACGTTATTTCACCTCTGGACTTCTGGTTCTTTTGCAATCTTTTCTTTGGTTCATCACCCTTAGGATTCTCTTTGAAAATCACGATGCAGCTAGATATGTCCTCTCCGATCCAATTGCTTACACTGAGTAAGCTGTTTAGGATGTTCTTCTGATTTTGAGAGGACTCTGCCCCTTGAGATAATGACCTCAATAGAGAATCCAATAACTACTTCGGTAAAATAAATCTCTTTAATGTACATGGTACATTGATATGTGCAGATTGTGGATAATGTCCTGATACACAACCAAGCAGTTGATGGAGATAGAGACACTTCCATAGCGACAAATGTTCAACTCATTGAAAAGCATCATGAACCAGAGAGAGGCGAAGAAGGAGAAAGCATCATCCCTTTTCTAATTCCAAAATCAGAACCTGATCCAACAGAAAAAAACGTGGGGTCTCAGGGGCAACCAGTTCTCAAATCATGTTTGGCCTCTGATCTCCAAATTCCCAGAAACAAGAGAAAGCGAGGGGAACGGAAAGCTGGTTCAGGTGGTTGGAACAAGCAATGCTCAGGTGAGCCTGATAGCCAGTGATATGTTCAAATTCTTTCTCGTTACTGGCTTTACGAGTTTCCATTGCAAAATTTTCAAGTAAGCTGCTGGAAGTGGTACTCTGTGCAAATGGTAGATGAAGCACCTTTGCCTCGTTTAATGAAGTTGAATCCAAATAAAAGTCAGTCCAATATTATCAGCATGTAGGAGGTCGCGGAACCTACTAGTTGAGAACAAGTAGTTTGCACCGGTGCCACAAATAGGATTAGTCCCGGAGCCTAACCTGTATGACCACATGAGCCCATCTGTACATTAGGTCTGCGCTTGTAGTGCTAGATTTAGATAGAAATCACAAGCTTAGCTCTGACAAGCTGGCAGGGGTTGATAGATTGTGAGTCAGGAACTGGTTTGCATTTTGTATTTAGTGATGTCACTGTAAACGATGACTGTTTGCACACATGAATACAGATGTCTGTCTTCTTGGCAGCTTTGTTAAGAGTCCCATGTCAATTTTGTTTTCTATTGAATCTGAACGACTTCGATGATAGTCTACATTTCTGATAAGTGCATAGGTATTTTAATCAAAATCTGCTGTCTTTGGAGCTATAAGGAGTCAGGACCGTGAATGTTGAAAATCATAGTATGCCTGAAATTTTGGTTAATGGCCTGCAAATCAGTATAGCAAGCATAGTTTTAAATAACGGCTGTTATGTTATATAGCGGCTGTTATGTAACGGTTTTGGAGCATGCCGTTATCGTTATTTTAGTATTATAATAAGCCGTGATCTGCGACGAAGAACCGTGACCATTTTTTCAACCGTCCGCGATTTAAAACTATGATAGCAAGGACTCCACAGCTAGGCCAACTGCAGTACTTAAAATTTGTTGCTATAACCTATGTCTAGGAAATATGCCACGATGGGTGATGAGAGCTCTACATTTTTTTTGAACTGCAGGATACGATGATGGTGTAAAAACCGGAGAGAATGGAACTTGATAAGTAGATCTTTGATTACCTTTGGATGTGATTGTAGTTATCTGTGATTCATCTCTCCATAGGTTCAAACTATCTCTATAGAACATTTGACATGGATTTAAGCTAGTGAAATTGTTATCCAAAACCTGAAAATTTTAAGTAACCTAAGAACTACCACTACTAATCAATCATCAAATTGCTAAGCCTGTCTCTCACTTTCTTCTTAAAGCTACATCTATAGCAAATAAGGTTTGATTTTATGTTTTACCTGAAGCGAAAAAACTACAAAAAAAAATATTCTGATTGAAATTAACACATCTATGCCCTTTATTGTGGCTGTAAATAGTGAATTCTGTTCAGCAGAAAATGAGTGGGCGGTAAATGTTGTCTCAAAAGTGCAGGCTTTGGTGTGGGCTCAGGAGGTTCCAAACACTTGATGAGTGTCAGAACTTTGCACGTGTAAGTACCTAGTTGCACTGCAAGTCTGCAATTGCATCCTTCTTTTCATGTGAATGTGATAACTTAAAGAAAGACTTACAACTCAAAAAAAAAGGGCAAAAGAAACATTGCAGACTTGCAGTGACAGATATACACAGAGAGAGTCGAACTCGAGTGGTCATTGGAGCAAGCTTTAATTAGTAATTGATAATTTAAGTCCTTTTATTGAAAGGAGAAGAAGAAAAAGCCTTGAATATTCCCACAAATGTGACCTATTTTGTTCGACCTTTTTGTCAAAATCGTACCTTCGCCCTTTTGAATAATGAGCTTTTATTGCCCTGTAACCGTGTTTTCAAGCCATGTGTTTTCCAATCCATTTTTTGGATCAATCAACCGCGTTTTTTTTTACACACTAAAAACAAGATCATAACGTGTAATTTTAGATTCTACGAACTGATAGCGACTTTTATTATTTTATTGGCCTTAATTCGACTTCAAAGCTTGACTTCAAATAGTTATTGAGCTATTCAAAAAAGAAAAAGGGAAGCACGTTGTGTTCTCTTCTCCAACTCAATGATGTTCATGCCCTAGCAATTTGAATTAAGCATTCTCTGTTAGTGCCCTCAAGTTTATCTTCATGAAATTATGCTTCTATTTAACACGCCAACTTACAACTTAACCCGTAAAACAAGATAAGCACGTTTTATCCGACACGTTAAAAAGAATCATTATTGAACTAATAAAATCTTTTTTTTTTTTTTTTTATAATCTAGGATGTCCGAACCAGGTTTACGCACACCACGACTAATATTTGAACTTACTGAACACCCCGCAAGCGTAATGGTTAGGTAAGACACCACGGGAGTGACGGATATACACGAGAGAGTCGAACTCGAGTGGTCTGCAATTGCATCCTTCTTTTCATGTGAATGTGATAACTTAAAGAAAGACTTACAACTCAAAAAAAAAGGGCAAAAGAAACATTGCATCATTAACTTCTATGCCATTTATTTTTGGTGGACAAAGCTTCAAAAATAATTTCACATTTAAAGGTCATATGTTGGATGCCCATATTTGCACTAAGACCTTAATTTCAGTAAAGTTCTGAACCTTGTGAAGTTACCAGTCCCTTTATAAGCATCGTTCTCCTCCTCCTTCTTCTTCTTGGTGTGGGGGATCACATTTCCAATCCAAGGTGGACAAAATGATGTCTCTGGTCTACAATGTACAAAAGCTAAAGATGATTGGAAACCCTAATGCCTTTTGACCTAAAAAAGTGTGTGTGAATCAATGACCTCTTCCCCTGTTTATTTACTCTAATCTTAGTAAATCTCACCACAACTCTATTAACAATGTCATGTGTCCATTTAGTTGGAGAACGAAATTAGGCATGGTGAGCTATAATTACTTGTTAATCTAATATGAAAACATGACTTAATACTTTACTGATCAAATGAATTGGCATGCAATCTGATTGCATAAAATCTATATATCTCGAGACTTTTTGTAAAATTTAGAAAAGGGTTTTGCTGTACTGGAGGAAATATCTAATCCAACATCACCAATCATCATGTCTTTTCCTCTTTGCAGCAGCTTTTGGAGTTCTAGATATAACATGAGCCACAAATGAATCATGATGCCATCCATTATCAAATAATTTATATACAGACTGGATCTAAAGCACGCCCACTCCTTGGCTGATCAGGTCACTCCCTTTTTCCAGTATTTTGATATCTTCTTAACTTTTTCACCTAGATTACGAAGCCTACTCTGTCTCAAGGGAATAACCCTTTTGCTATGTATGAAAAACCTAAAGTGTAATATATCAGAAATCAAAGTTCATCATCCCAAATCATAATTCAATGCAAAAGTTATAACCCTGCCATGTCTTTCATCTTGCCAATGACAATCAGTGTTTTATGGTTTGAAAAATATGCAAAAACTAAAAGAGGCTAACGCTTTTAAGCTTCTATGATTCTTTCAACACAAAGGCAGGGCAGGCATGTCCAAGACAAATTAATGCCCTAACTAATCTTAGTTGCTCACAATCATACATAATAACAGATGAACATGATGACCAAGTGTCTAGATACTCTTGATGCCCTAAAGAGTAATCAATGGCGCAAGAGTTCTCCTTTTCTAAAGTGATCAAGGAGGGGGGGGGGGGGGGGGCGGGGCACTCTAGTAATTGCATTAAAAGCAACAATTTACTTTGCCTTTGAAATTTGAAAATCTCTACTCTCTTTCTAAATCAATAGGAATCATGCCTGCCAAAGCAAAAGAGGTGGTCTTGTAATAAAGAATGGAGAAAAAGAAAAGAAGCATATTGCCAACCCATCTTTCAGTCACAAAATTGAAGGCAAAAGAAGGCTCTTCCCTCTCTCCACCCCTGAAATGAAACTTCTTTCTTCTCCTTCTCCAGCTCTTTCACATACTTCAATTTGCTTTGTTCATGCAAGATCCAAAGAGCTCACACACAAGGTATGCCACCACGCTCCCTCCCTCCCTCCCTCCCTCCCTCCTTACAATCTGATCGACCAAGTAATTTCTTTGCTCAACTAGTTAGATTCTTCAACAATATTTGCTAAGCTGAACTTGATCGTTTTTGCTGTGTATCTTTGTTACCTTATGTGTTCGATATTTCCCATCTTTGGTTCATTTGCTACCAAAATGTATGTTTGTGCATTCTAGTTTCTCTGACATGCAGCGTTATAACCTAAGAAACCAGATTATGCATCCATCGTTTGCTACAATGTTCTTTACATCATTTCAACCTCGTTAGATGTCTCTTTCTACCAAGGAGCGACCATTCTCCTGCCCTCTTTTGTCCATTGTATGGAAGAACGTGTCCATTTGCTTTAAGGCCAGTTGGTTCACAATATGGAAGGATTCTCTATGTGGACCAGCATGATTAGCCTCTTTTTGGCATAACATTCGAGCCCATTTTGACTAAGGACCTTATTAGAGGAAGGAATGGACTCTATGTGCAAACCCATCTATTTTTAACATATTTTTCTGTCATTGTTCCTAGCATGAGGCATCATTGCATATCAAATTATCAACTACGATTGATTGAACTGAATTTAGCAGAAACTTAACAGAACAAACCAATTTATTCAGCAGAAACCTAACAGAACAAACCAATGTATGAATTATGATGTACGATTTTCATCAAAAAAGAAAATGGGTTTTTTCGGTTCTGTATTTTTCGAAATTTTTTTATTGAAACTATTTTATTTATTATTATTATTTTTTTTTTGCTTTGATTGAGAATTTTTACTTTGCAAAATTTTTTATTTCAGATTCTCTATTATAAAAGTATCAATTAATGATCCACGCATGATTTTGTAAAATAAGAAATCTCGAAGAGTTGTCGATCATTTATTAGTGACATTATTAAAAAAAAATCTGAAATAATAAATTTTGAAAAGTAAAAAGTCTCAGTGAAGCCAAAAAAAAATTAGGGTGTCAACAAAAAAAATTAAAAAGTAGAGAATCCAAATGTGGAAAAACCCGAAGAAAAAAAAGTAAAAAAAATAATAATACATAAGAAGTACTGATATTCTTAAGATTTTTGTGCTTAATATATACTAATTAGCTGTAACTTAGACCTTGTCAAATACCTTGGATTGTAAGAATTTGGCCTAATCCTCTAAATTTGGCTGCCTATAAGTTAGTGATTGTATCAATCTTTGGACCAAATTTCACATAAAAAGTAAAATTCAGCTGAAATTAGCATCTAAAGTTAGAAATTGGTGAATGGAACCATGAGAACCTCACAGTTTAGATAAATTAGAGAATCGATTTGGTTATAAAAACTATGTATCTCTAGCTAGTTTTCCCAAAGCCAAAGCCAAATCTAAAGCTCTGTTTTCTTAATTTTCTTTCTGCATTCTAGTTTTTTTAAAATGCATGTTAAAAAGCATATTACTTGTGGGGAACTCATGCATGACGTGCAATATATATTGTGCTCTAGGAAACCTTGGTATCAAAAAGCAATAGAGATGGCTACTCAATGGAAGACAATTTCCAAGTCTACAGAAATATCGACGACGACGACGAATCCTAGACTGTGGAAGGCCGTTTCCAAGTCTAAAGGAATTCCTAACAAAAATGGAACATTGTGGAAAACTCTTTCAAGATCCACAGAAATTCCAACTGCAAACCCTAATAGAGCAAAGCTAAGGAAATGCAGCTCTGTTAGGGTTGCGACGACATTTACTCGTGTTTGTCTTTGTGCACCTATCTCTTCCTACAATGAGGTTTTTCGAGCTGAAGTTCCGCCTAGAAGAAGCAATAGCTATCCTAGATCAAAACCATTTCCTGCGACGCAAGAAAGAATACCTAGTGCAAGACCTAGCATGGAAGGAAGAAGAGTAATTTTTCGGGGAAAATCATTGACCGATGATGTTTTGATGAGGAGATTTGTTTTGGAAGAGGAAGCAATGATGCAAATTAAAAGGAGGAATCAAATGGAAGTTATAAGGAGCAGGACTATGACGAGAAGGAAACAGCTTGGACCAAGCCCTCTTAGTAGAATGGTAATGGCTGAGGTCGAAGAATGTTGATTTAATTTAGAATTTGCCTGTTTCCAAACAGCAAATATTGAATCTTCTCCTTTCATTTATTTTTTCTTTCTACTTTTCCAATTGGATAGGTGGTTTGTACTTTTTACTGCCAATTTTCTGTCATTTGTATTAGATGTTTTGGGTGGTGATGGAAAACTTCTAGTAAGAAATCAAAGAAAATAGCATTCTGATTCAAATATCTCCATTAATTAAATGAACACATGCATCAAAGTAGATGATTAATTAATTTTAGGTTGATGATCCTTTTACCAAATCTGAATATGCATGCACGCAACACTTTACATGCTTGGATCATGGCTTGTAGAGAAAAGATTTCCTTTCCTTTTCTCTTCTCGTTTGAGCCTTAGTTTCACTTGAGCTTTAGTTTCACTTGAGCTTCAATACATTCCCTAACAATTAAAGGATCATGAAACTTGGTTAACAACCTTAATGGCTAACCTACTTCTGTATTTGATCTAATCGATTTTGCTTACACGCCACTCTAATGTCAAATGAAGAGAACTTTAGGATCAAGGATAGTGGTTATTTAATCTATATCATACTTCACAAAGTTAGGTTGCTTTACTATTTATGGCTACTTATGTCCCTTCAAAACATACAAGTGTTTCGCTTTTCTCTTCCTTGTCAACCACCACCTGTAACTGCTTTTAAATCCATTTCCTCCTCTAATCAGTCCTCTAGCTAGTATTATGGTACTAACTAAAACCCACCATCTCAAATGACTTGTACTTGTCCATGTTTGGTTGTCTTGAAGCATGCAAATCTTGATTTTCTCCACACACGATTAAGAATAACACTTGTAAGCGGGTAATTCCTGGATTAATGAGAAAATTTGCTCATTTATGGATTAATGAATTACAGATCAAATTTCGGATGTCCAACATAAAATGAGACTGTTTGCGGTCAATGATATGGAGGGTTTTTTTTTTTTTTTTGTCGAATTAATGATTAGATTAATGAAGCTAGCGAAAAAATAAGTTACAACCAAGTTAAGAAGTCAGTAAATATATTAAGATTCGATTTTTTTTATGAACTCGCAACATAACTGATCTACTAAAATTTAAATTCGTGATCTCTTGTTATAAAATACTACTATTACCGAGCTAAAAACTCTTTGGATTGAGACTCGATTTAGCTAAAGAGTCCGGCAACAAAATTCCTTTTTTTAGTACAAGAGCAAAAGAAACTAATTTTAAATGCAAAATCATATTAAAAATAATATTAGAATTGCTTCAAGCTTTCAAAGTCTTTCAGAAAAAGATTTATACAACCAAACAATTAAAATAACCGAGTGAGACTTTATAATCCAATTGACTTGAAAAGTTAAAAGCAAAGCAGCATTAATTTTCAAAGTTTTTTGAATAGCCAACAACTTCAATTCATTTGAATCTTGGATCCGTGTAGAAAATGAAAAGGTACAATTTATTAATTAACAACTTTGACATGTACATATGTTAAAACATATATCACATTGAATAGTTAAATAAATAATATACAATATATAAAGTTAAGAAGGGACCACCTATCATAATGTTTAAGTTTTTTGGATGGAACCCAATCTCAACTATTTAATTTAATATGGTATCGTAGTTTCAAAAAGACCCAACGGCCTAACAAAGATCCCTGAGCCCAAGCTATTTGACGGATCCCAAAAGATGGGCTGCAAGTGAAGAGAAGTGTTAGAATATATCCCAACTGCAAGTGAAGAGGAGTGTTAGAACATATCCCAACTGCAAGTGAAGAGGAGTTTTAGAGCATATCCCACATTGAATAGTTAAACAAATAATAAATAATATATAAAGTTGAAAAGCTAGCCACCTACTATAAAGCCTTAAATCTTTTGAATGGAATCCTATCTCAACTATTTAATTTAATAACAGAAGAAAACATCGTATCCAAAACGCATCTTTTGTGGTCCAAAGCACAAAATCATTGAAACAAATACGACATAAATTGTCGAGGATAGACCCCTTGGAAACTTATGGAGCTAATATAACATAATTATTTTGTTCTTTTAAGGTAGAGCTAATACAATTACAATGTATTAATTAACAACTTCGACATAGACAGAAGACAACCTTGTATCAAAAACACATCTTTTGTGGTCCAAAGAACAAAATTATTGAAACAAATACGACATAAATTGTCGAGGATATACCATTTGGAAAGTTATGGAGTCTTGTTGAAGTTGCTGTAGTCAAGATACAAAGAAAGTATCGTTGTGCCTTCTGTCTGCTAATCGTACGATTCCGATAGTTACGATAATTAATGCAGCAGATTTTTCACTATTAAGATATTTATGTTTCAATAAAAAAATAAAAAATAAAAATGCATTTTTTAAATTGTACAAAAATGATATGTAATTTCAGTTAAAGCATAAGCTGATTGGAAAATATTTCTTACCTCGGGTAAAAATAAATAAATTATATTATCCTAAATATTGACGAAGAAATGGTAAAAAATTATTTGTTTATGATATTTGTATGCGGCTGGTTGAAGATGTTATTTATTTATAGCCGTTGAACTTTGTGGTGATTGTGCTAAACTTTCAAGAAACGAAAAGGACTGATTTGAGTGCTTGGAACGTTTAATTAGTTTTTTTTTTTTTAATTAGTAATTGATAATTTAAGTCCTTTTATTGAAAGGAGAAGAAGAAAAAGCCTTGAATATTCCCACAAATGTGACCTATTTTGTTCGACCTTTTTGTCAAAATCGTACCTTCGCCCTTTTGAATAATGAGCTTTTATTGCCCTGTAACCGTGTTTTCAAGCCATGTGTTTTTCGATCCATTTTTTGGATCAATCAACCGCGTTTTTTTTTTACACACTAAAAACAAGATCATAGCGTGTAATTTTAGATTCTACGAACTGATAGCGACTTTTATTATTTTATTGGCCTTAATTCGACTTCAAAGCTTGACTTCAAATAGTTATTGAGCTATATTCAAAAAGAAAAAGGGGAGCACGTTGTGTTCTCTTCTCCAACTCAATGATGTTCATGCCCTAGCAATTTGAATTAAGCATTCTCTGTTAGTGCCCTCAAGTTTATCTTCATGAAATTGTGCTTCTATTTGACACGCCAACTTACAACTTAACCCGTAAAACAAGATAAGCACGTTTTATCCGACACGTTAAAAAGAATCATTATTGAACTAATAAAATCTTTTTTTTTTTTTTTTTATAATCTAGGATGTCCGAACCAGGTTTACGCACACCACGACTAATATTTGAACTTACCGAACACCCCGCAAGCGTAATGGTTAGGTAAGACACCACGGGAGTGACGGATATACACAGAGAGAGTCGAACTCGAGTGGTCATTGGAGCAAGCTTTCAACCGCTAAGCTACGACCTCAAGCACCGAACCAATAAAATCTTGATTTAATGATAATTAAATTTTTTGTCAATATACAATTTAAATTTTAGAATCACATTTCTTGAAAAAAAATTAAATTTTATCGTTTTTGTTATTAACATAATTACTCATATGTGAAAAATAACTAAAAAAAAAAAAACCGACCATCGAATACTACATTGACTAAATAGACCGATTAATTTCATAAAGGCAGGGCAATTTTAATGTTTCAGCAGCAAGTAGCTGTATCTAGCCCACCTTCTTCAGCTTTATGGCTAACCTAGCTCACCAAACATCACCCCTTTAAACTGCCTTCATATTTGTCTTCTCGGCTGAAACTTTAGAACATTCGTGTGAACAATGTTTTTATTTTAATATATTGCCAAGTTATTTCTGCCTTTTTTTTTTTTTTAATATTATATAAAATATATCCATCAACATTGCCATTGGACTACTCTATGGTTGAGCTACCAACCGTACATTCAGTCTAGCAGGCGGTCTGTCTCCAATTAATAGAATATATTTTTCTCATAGCTAAAATCTTTTAATATTAAAGAATTGGATATTAAATAAAAATATAAAGATAATGTTAGAAAATTATCCAATTATATAAAAAATAAATTTAGCTATTTATTCTATTTTTAACGTAAATAATTTGTTTTTTAAGAAGTTCAATGAACCAATTTCGGTGCTTTTTTAATCAGCTGGGGGGTTTTTTACGCGTGATTTCAATAGTGACATTTCATATTTGTTAGGGAAAACAACTTGGTATCTTTTCTGATTTGATTAAATAGATAATTTATTGGTGGCAATTTTCTTTTGATTTAATAGGAATCTATCATCGTCAACAAGAAGTTAGTGGGGATTCCATTTTTAAGCAATGATGAAATTAATGAACTTTAAGCTACTGATCTTGATTTTTTTTTTTTTATTAATGTTAATCAGTCAGTCCATATATGAGTGGATCATGCGTATTCTTGACACATGGATTCGATTTTTTAAATTTGACAAGATATTTATTTTTTATTTTTTTCTTTTTCTTATTTAGACAGTTATATTATATGTAAAAGAATCATTTCAATTTAAAAATTTAAATCAATAATTGAGCTTAATTAAAAAAAAAACGATAAGATTTGAATTTTTAAAGTTAGTAAAATCTTGATACTAATAATCTAATAGATGAGATCGTAAGAATTATTTTTATATCTCTACATGACAATGTATAAATAGATGATTTGTGATATTACAATTTGATATATAACATAAGCTTTCGGAAACATATTAGGAGATTCCATTTTGTATTTTTTTTATTATCTAAAAGGACCTCCAAATTCTTGGATTCTATGTATCTAGCTGATCAAAAACTATAAAGTTGACAACAAGCCTATCAAAAACCGACATGGTTAAAAAAAAAAAAAAATTCCTAGTAAAATATAAAAGGCATCCAAAGTTATGTCTTTAGATTCGGGTGTTTGGCATTCGTGTTGCAGACGGGAATCGCCCTAGACTTAGGCTTTTCTGAGCTTTTATAAATCGAAGGATAGGGAGACAGTATGAGCAACGGCTATTTGTTAGCCGAATCCCATGAATCAATCATTTTGACTCAATAGTTTTTGCTCGAATCT